ATGTCCTCTACCACCACTCCTGTTCAATATAGTTCTGGAAACATTAGCCACAGCAATTAGACAAGAGAAAGAAATAAAAGGAATAAAGATCAGAAAGGAAGAAATTAAACAGTCATTATTTGCTGATGATATGATACTCTACCTAGAAAACCCAAAAAAACTCTGCCAAAATACTTCTAGATTTAATTGACAGATTCAGTAGAGTAGCTGGATACAAGGATAACACTCAAACATCAATAGCTTTCTTGTACACAAATAACAGACTCACTGAGAGAGAAATTAGGGAAACAATTCCTTTCACAATAGATTCCAAAAAAGTGAAATATCTAGGAATCAAACTAAAGAAGGAGGGCCAGGGATTTAGCTCAGTGGTTCCCACACCTGCCTCACAAATGCAAGGTCCTGAGTTTGATCCTTGGTACAAAAAAACAAAAAACAAAAAACGAAGGAGGCAAAAGACCTCTACACGGAAAATTACAGCACTCTGAAAAAAGAGATAGAAGAGGATGTAAGAAAATGGAAAGACATCCCTTGTTCCTGGGTAGGAAGAACCAATATGGTGAAAATGGCCATACTTACAAAACTGCTATATAGATTCAATGCAATACCAATTGAAATCTCAACAGTATATTTCACAGAACTAGAAAAAAAAATCTGAATATTCATTTAGAACCAGACGAGACCTAGAACATCAAAGGCAATTCTAGGCAACAGAGACATGACAGGGGGTATCATAATCCCCAACTTCAAAGTATACTACAAAGCCACTGTGATAAAAACAGCATGGTATTGGCAAAGAAACAGACCCAAGGATCAGTGGAATACATTAGAAGATGCAGAAACAACTCCAGATATACTCAGCTACCTCATCTTTGACAAAAGAGCTAACCATCCTTGCTGGAGGAAAGGTAGCCTCTTTAATAAATGGTGTTGGATAAAATGGATTTCAACCTGCTAAAGATTAAAAGTAGACCCCTATCTTTCACCATGCACTAAACTAAAATGGAAATGGATTAAAGATCTAAATATTAAAACAGAAACACTAAACTTGCTGGAAGATAACTTAGGTA